CTGCAGACTTAGCTGCATCAGTTCTCCACTACCTGCAGGGATTTAACCTGGGAAATAGCAATCCTTTTACTATTTCTAAGCATTTTCCTGTTTCTTGTTTTGTTCTTCCTTTTCTTCCATTTTTCCTGAGATATAAGATGTGCTGCTTTTTCCAGGTTCAGGCTAATAGACACTTGCTCAATTAACAAAATAAAAAGGAGGACTTGTGTTGCAGACTCAGAGGTGCCAGGAGCTGGCAAGGTGTGAGCAAAAGCTCCACAACCACACACTGCAACCTTCAGGGCTATAAGTACTTGCCCTTTTCCTAGGAGGGAGTGTTCTTTTTAGCTTCTGGGCCTGGGGCCTTACCTGTAGGAATTTGGTGGACAAAGGTTGAACTAGAATGAGGAAGGATGCATATGATCTGCAGTTGTTGCCACATTGAGTCCTAGAACAAAGTGATGCAAGCACTGGACAGATATAGAAAGTGTCTATAGCTAAGGTTATTGCTGAATTAAAGAGAGATTCATCATTGGCCTTGTCTCTGCCTCTTCCATTATCATCCCCTTGTTCTTCTGGAGCACTGCTGGTGTTGTGGCAGGCCCCCAGCAGTGGTAGTATGCTTACCTAGCATGCATGAAGCCCTGTGTTCAAGTGCTCAGTACCACATACACAGGAAAGCAAAATGTGGAATTTTTGCTCAAGTACTGGGTTGTTAGTCTTGAGCAAAAGAAGTTCAGTGACAGTGTCCATGCACTGAGTTCAAGCCTCAGCGTTGGGACATAAAACACAAGAAATGTAAGCTGGGTGCTGTTCCTCATGTCTGTAATCCTTGCTGTTCAATAGGCTGAAACCTGCGGATCCCAGTTGAAAGTCAGCCTGGTCAACAACATGTGAGACATTATCTCCAGTGACCACTAGAAATCCAGAAGTGTGTTGTGGCTCACATGGGAGAGCCCTTGAGCTCAGAGTTGGTTCCCAGTCTCAGAGTACAAGTGCCATGACCAACCAAAAAAAAAAGGATAAAATAATGAATAAATGCATCAGAAATATAGGCTTGAACAATGAAAACTACACTTCACAAGTAGTCTTGGAAGTACTCCAGTTCTTTCTGATCCTTTTCTCCTTGCTTCTCAGGAATTTACTTTTATAGGATGAAATTAATTTTTCTTTATATTATTAGAGGTGCTTTTAAGGTGAAGTCTATACATCCAAATATGCCCTTTGATTCCCATTTTCATGAGGATTAGTTCAGGTCCACAAAAGAGTCATGGAAAATCCATACACTAGAGCACTAAAATCAGGCGGGAAAGTTTCCAAACCAAACCATCCCAATTAAGTGCATGTAAATGATCACCAAACATCACAATAAACATTTAAGAGACAAGTATAGGATCTCTGATTATGAGAGAGGGAGACTGTTGCTGACCCTGGGTGCCTGCCAGGAGCAGGCAAACTGAACAAAGGCTTCAGGGCCATGGACTCCCACCCTCAGGACTGCAAGTCCTTGCCCTTTCTTGGTTTGAGGAAGTGTGTGTTCTAGCTGATTGGCCTGGGGCTTTAAGTCAAGGGAGGCTTTGGTGGAAAAGATAGATTGAAATAGAATGAAGAAAGATGCGTACTGTTTGCACTTTTTGGCAGAGTGTGCCTAGACCAATATTACACAAGCATTTGAGAAATATAGCAGAATTGTGCCATCAGCCATCTCTCTATCTCCTTAATTATTTTCCCAGTGTCCCACAGAAATCTTGCTTGTGCTCTGATGGGACTGTGGCAGAAGACAAAGATTTATTCCACAGCTTAATGGGTAAGGTCTGAGAAGACAAGTCAGAGGTCCCCTAGATATGTAGCTTAAAGCTACTGAGAGGAGCAGTTAGGATCAGAGAAGAGGTAAGAATTCTAAAGAGATTTTCACATGCAAAATGAAAAGACAAAAGCAGACTGCTATGTAAATGATTAAGATTCACATCAATATAGACCTTCTCTAAACTTCACTCTTCTACTCACCTGCATTCATTCTGGCCCCCAAACCACTCTCTTTGTAAGAAAATCAGGGAAATGTGCCCTGTTCTTAAGAATCCCTGTGAGGAAACTTTTCACTAGTTACCTGAAGAGATTATTAAAGGAAATCCAAGTAGAGGACAGCAAATGCTCTCAGACAGTGCCCAAGCTCTGAGTTGAAGCCTCAGGACAAAAAAAGAAAAAACATAAAACCCTTAAATGAAAAGCAAAATTCAGAAACAGCCAAAAACTCATTTTCATTTAATAGATAGGATTGGGGATTTTCTGGAAAATTAATTGTTTGCTTTTGTGAAATCCAAATCAACACAAGGATCATGACGCATATCCACATAACCATCTTCTTATTCTATGCCAGTGTGTACATTACACTAATGGAAAATGACCCGGTATAAGTTCAGTGTCTATGAGTACGTTTGTAAGATGAGAGAGGAGGTATTAAACAATGAAAAGCAAAACAGAGATATAATTTACACTCAGCAGAACACAGGAATAGAACAAAAAGAAAGGTATGGAAAACAGTCTCATAACCTCAATTTCATTATTAGAACTAAGTACCAAAAAGTCAATGCATGCAATTCTCCCCATTTATATCCATTTTCTGGTTGGTCTTACAATATTTCACGAAGGAAACAGTGGTTTTGAAGAAGAAACTCACCTTAGCTCCCACAGCAGGGAGAGAAAAGTCCCAATACATTCAAGCACTCTTCTGAGCAGAGGTGAAGCAAGGTGGTGCCGAGCATTATGGGAATTGTAGTCTCCGTGGAGGGCTTTTGGTTTGAAAGTCCTGAGTTGTTGTTGTTTTTGGAGGGCGGAAGTGGCGCAGAGATCCTTTTGCACATGCGTCTCCCCGCCCACCTTGGGCGTTTTAAGTCTGCCCCTTCTGGGTTTTTTTCCTTTGCCTTGCTGCTGGAAGTGCCCTGAAGGAAACTTTGGCCTTCCATAGGTGGGAGCCAGGAGCCCTGCGCCCAGCTCTGTGCAGTGGAGCTTGGGAGCTGTAACTTGAAGGAATCTCAGGCTTTGGAACTGATGTCAGGTAGGAACTGTGCGGTTGCTGCAGGAGCCTCCCCTCCATGTTTTTCTTTTTCTGTTTCGTCCTTGGTGGGGCTTAAACTCTGGGCCTGCAAGCAACATTCCTGAGCTCCTGAGCTCAAAGGGAGAGCATTACACTTCAGTTAAAGCTCCTACTGCCTCCTCCACACTTTTCTGCAGTCTGGAGTTGATAATTTGCTTGAGGTTCAGGAATTTGTGCTGTCATTAGGCTCTAGGCCCTCAGGTGGAAGAACCTGGTTCCCAACTATATGAGAGGAAGCTGGGTGATTCTGCGGATGAGGGGAGGCCAAGAGCTGTGCATTTGTACTCCAACACTAAGGTATTCTTCTATTAACACTTTATTTGCTTTGCCCAGGTGTAAGAGGAGTACAGGATGAATTCTGGTGAAATTGTGAGGTGTGTGCCTGCCTTGAGTCCTCTTACATTGAAGTTGTATTTGGGGCTTCTGTGTTGTTTCTCCTAGAGATATTTTAATCTGTTTGGCTTGAGTTTTAATTTCTTGGCTTGAGTTCACAAGCTTTTGTACACGACCCTGCTTCTAGAGACAGTTGTACATGGGATATTGGAGTAGGGAGTGCTGGTCCTGTATTTTTGGAAGGAAGCCTTGCAATGTTTGAAGCAGAGCACCCTATGAATAGGAATCTCCATCCTAAATGGACAGACCTTGTCAATTTTGAGAAGCCCTAGAGGGACAAAGCAAAAAAGCACAGGAAAGGGAAGATGTTGCTAGCTTCCATTGCCTTATGCAAAAATTGTTGATACTTCCTTGAGCACCAGATTCACGTGGTACTCTTTACTACACCACTGTCAATCACTTTGTGTTGTTGCAAGATTTAAACTAATTTCCAGGAATTGTGATGGGCTGGATTGAGGAATAAGCCAGAGCATAGTTATCAGAGGGTACCTGAGGCTGTGGTTTGGGATGGTGGGGTAATTGTTAGGACTGAAAGTATCTATTCATGTATTAATCCCTAATCGTCTTCTTGATAATTTATTCGGCCTGTTACCACTATTATTTTTAGTATGTAATCATGCAAACTTATGTTAAATGTCCCATCTGAGGATTTGCTAACGCTAGATCTTATGGGTTGGTTTTGCCTGTTTAGAAAGTATGGATCAGGGACATTTGGCCTTAAAAGAAAAATCACAGAAGAAAGCTTGAGATAATTATGTCTTACTCCAGGTTGTATGCCTTGTAGATGTTGCTTATCTTCAGGTGATATCACTCCTACATGGAGTATTTTAGGTTGTATCTTTAGTATGGCCAAGGTTCTTCCCAAGACTGTTTAGGGAAATGAACATTAGGGACTTCTCAAACCTGGGATTACCTCATCTTTACTCATGTCCTTTTGGCCAAAGCATGTTAAATGGAAATTGCAAGTCTTTGTAGAGGTGTGGAATGGGTACAGTTAAATGTGCCATTTGACAATCATTGTTGAAATATTTTAACACAAGAAATATATTCTGCATACATTTTTTTCTCTAACTTTGGGTGAAAACTACTGAGTTACATCATACATGCTTTCCCTGGTGTTTAAATATGTAAATGAATGAGGTAGAACACAAATTCCAATGGATTCCTAGGATGCCTTTACATTAAAAAAAAAAGCAGTTCCTACATCCTAAAGTATATTCAGTAACAACTACTTTTAGTGGAAATGAGAAGTTTTTGTTTTCAAGTATTCAATAATATTTGTGGGGACATTCCTTTTTTTCGAATTTAATGTGTTCATAAACATAGAAATTAGTTGGTTTAATAATATCTATCTACAAGGAAATGGCCTGGATTTGTGTTTACTGGAGACTTTAATGCCTTGCCTGAGACATTAAAGATTCTTCTAAGACAGCTTTATGGTTTTGAAGCCCATGTTTCAGGTTTGCAAGAGAAAATTCTGGACCCCAAATCTCACAGATTCATTTCTGAATATGTCATTTGCCTTATATCCCAGCCATGCTTCCAGAGTCTTCTGTTCATTGTCAGCAGCAAGACAGAATGAATGGATTTCTGGTGAGTTTTTTTTTAATTTGTCATTTGTTTTCCATTCCATTATATGAACCTAAAGATGTCCAACAATTAAAAACAATACAAACCACACAGGTTCAGCCTCAAGAACATATTCATAAATCAGACAAAGATGGCTTGTAGATTAGGAGATAAAGATTACTTGTAGGTTTAGCAGATTAAATGGATATATTCTTTCTAAGTTGAATTCAGATTGGCTTCAGAATGTCTAGGTTTCATCTTGTCATAACATATAGTCATACCTGTTATGTGATGTAGTGACACAGAGCAGGTTACATCTCATGGAAGGTGAAGGGTGGATTGCAGCCAGATCTCATCCTCATGAGTAACAATAAAATATCTCAAAGAAATTTTCCTGGAATTGCTGAAATAATGTGGTCATATGCACCTTCATGTGTTCTTAAGGAATGATTAACCTATATGTTCTTAAATTACTCTCCATATATAGTTCTTGGACTGCTTCATGGTCTTGGTCTTACTTGAAACTTAGCCTATATTTGTTGCTAAACTTTATGGTCTTTTTACAAAATCTTGTTTGTTTTCTAAAGTATCCTCACAAGATTTCTTTCCTCTATAATCTCTCTCTACTTTTGGTTTTCTATTCACTTGTGTTGGTTATTTTTCTCTTTCTCTCTCTTTGTATCTATCTTTGAATAATTTTTTCTTACTTTTTTGATTCTCTCTTACCTCCATATGTCTCTCAGATTTTTCATTTCTTCAATGATCTATCTGGAAACTAGTTTTTCTTAGTGATTAGTTTTAGTTTGCTGACATGGCTCTTAGGATTGGCATTTTTCTTACCCACTGTATGGGAAAAATTTTGCCTAGAGAGTTCTACAGGATTCCAGAAACAAAGAAAATTAGAGAAACATAAAAACATAAACAGATAGACTTAGGGGAAACCAGAGTTCTGAAGCCTCTCTGGCACTTGGTCTTTGGTTGTCAGCAAGCAAGCATAGTTCCTTGAGTTCACACAGGGAAGATTACCATTGATAACATGCAAAATTGAAGTATCTATATTAATATTACAATCTAAGCAACAACAGGTTGTGAGGAAAACATGTTTCCTTATTCTCCTGAGACAGAAGACTGGTGCCCAGAGAAAATGCAGACAGGAAGCTTACCTTACCTAGCCTTCAAGGTGAACAGCAGCTCCATTTCAGATGCTATCTTTCCAACAGTAAGGAAAAGGCCTGCACTCCAGTCTCTTAACCTTCTCCAGAATTCTCTTTTAAGCCTTCTGCAGCCAGCTCTCAGTGCTCTCAATTCTGTCAGGCTGGAATTCCAACTTTTCAAACCTTTTCCCCCTTCAGCTCAACTTCAGAGTTCCATACAGAAAAGTACATCTTTCCCCCAATTGATAAACTACAAGAAAATTTGATTTCACCTGATTCTGTTATCTTTGGTCTAACTTCATTTGTCGTGGTATTCAGTTTTGTTTTTCCATACCACTACTTTTAAATATTTCACTCACTGCCAGTATAAGATAGGTAATTTTGATAAAAAAAAAATACAGTGATGAAGTTCTCCCTATTAGAAATATCATTTGTTGCAAAATCCCACATATCTTTGCTCAGGAATTGATTTTGATCTCTGAGGAATTTTACTATTAACTAACACAAGGACAAAGGTATCCTTAGGGCTCTACTGGAGAAATGAGTAAGGAATATGAAAGACATTTGAGCATTTGGTCATATTTATCATTTTTCTCATCTTGAGTGTTCCTTGAGCCTATATTAATTTGCCTCCCCCTTCCATGAAGACCTATTAAAATGAAAATCTTCTCAAGGAACATTTTATCCTCCTTTTACCTATATTTTGTATTGTAGAATGTAGGGAAAGTTTACAAAATGTCATGGTAGCAGTTCTTTTTTACATAGAAGGAACTATCAGGGAATCTATGACCACATTTCAATATTTAGTATTTAAACCAATCATGGTTAACCTAGGATATTTTTATGTGGGAACTAAATCAAGTCTTATAAGGGCTCAATAAATCATTAGCTACTCTCTGGAGTACTGTTACTGTTTTTTAATATTCACTGCTTTTCCTTGATCTAGTAATGTTGTATATTCTGTATCCCATGTGATATCTGAATGTGTTCTGCTTGCTTATGAGAGTACTTGTTAATAGAAGGTCTAAATAGGATTTATGGTGAAGCAATAAATGTAAATGCAGGGAAAATATTTGTTTAATTCATTGTTACCTACTGATATATACTAAAATTTTATCAATAATAATAATATAATTTTTTAGACAACACCTTAGACTTAATGTCATCATGCCAGATTATTATCTCCTTAGAGTTTTTATCTTGTCTCTATTGCTAGCAGCAGAAATGTGTTTGCATGCATTAGGGAATCTGTAACTTTTTATTGGTCTTGGGGCTTGAATTCTAGGCCTGGTTGTTGTCCCTCAGCTCTTCAGGTCAAGGTGAGTGCTCTACCACTTGAGTCATAGTGCTACTTTCAGTTTTCTGGTGGTTTATTGGAGATAAGTGTCTCATGGACTTTCCTGCCTGGGCTGGCCATGAAGCTTGATCCTCAGACCTCAGCCTCCTCAATAGATAGGATGACAGGCATCAGCCACCAGTGCCCTCAAATCTGTGTATTTTAATAGCCAGGTTTATGTATTGTCAAAAATTTCTAATTTGCTATTTAATTTTTCCAGTTAAAAGATAACATAGCCAGCTGCAAACATTTTATGTAAGATAAAAGCATACCTGCAGTGTAATGGAATTCCACATTGGAATTCTCATGACTCTGGTCTAATTTCTTGATGGAAATGTGCCATTACAGAAGCTGATGTCATTTGATGATGTGGCTGTGTACTTCACCTGGAAGGAGTGGCAGGATCTGGATCCTGGACAGAGGAACCTTTATAGAGAAGTAATGCTGGAGACCTATAGCAACCTAATGTCCTTTGGTGAGCAAAGGTCACTTTTATTTGGAAGATCAAGTGCTTTTATTTTAGTAGGCATTTGACTGTTTATGTTATTTAGGTATAATATTCCAGTCCATTCCCAGGTAAAAAACTGCTAGTATAAAAGCCAGTCAAATCAGGTCTGGGAGCTTGATGTTGTTTGCCTTTCACACTACTGCTTGAGCCACCACTCCATTTTGGCTTTTGTTTTGGGGTATATTCTGAATTTCCATCCCAGGTTGGTTTCAAGCCTGCCTCTTCTGATCTTATCTCCTAAATGTAGGGTTACAAGTGTAAGCCTTTGGACCATTACATTTTCCAAAAAGAAAGAAAGAAAGAAAGAAAAGATTCCAGTCCCTGGGAAGTGTCTTTTCTTTCTAAGGGAAACTTCAACTTCATTATATGTAACTCAAGAGCTAATTTTATTCTCATTCTTTAACAAGGCAAATTAGTAGTTGGACAAAAGTTCTAAAGGATGATTCACTAACAGGAAACTGACTTCCCAGACTTGGGGTGATTATTATAGGTGGATCTGCAGTCTAGAAAGAATATATATTACTACTGTCAGTACGATCTGGAAATCAGTAGTTGAAAGTGTGAAAGTGTGTATTTGTAAGCCAAACCTGACATAGGTTGCATTGCTTCAAGCTTGGAATCCTAGATACTCTGGAGGCTGAAATCTGAAGATTTTGGTTTGAAGCCAGCAACTGTAGAAAAATGAACATGAGACTCTTATCTCCAATTAGCCATTCCAAAACTAGAAAGGTAGCCAAGACTCAAAGTAGTAGAATGCTAGATTTGAGCAAAATAGCTGAGTTCAAGCCACACAATTGGCAAAATAAATGCGTAGCTGGGGAAAATTCCACCATGGAGCTGTTAGAATTGAGACACCATGGGTTGGGAAGGTGGCTCAGTGGTAGAGCCCTTGTCTTGCATGCTTGAGGCACTGTGTTCGATTGCTCAGCACCACATAAGCATAAAAAAATCCGGACTTGGCGTTGTGGCTCAAGTGATAGAGTGCTAGCCTTGAGCTTAAGAGCTGAGAGACAGCTCCCAGGTCCAGAGGTCAGGCCCCACAACAGAACCCACCGGCCAAAAAGTAAAACAATTGAGAAACCAGATTTAGGAGCAACCTTGTGAGAAGGATGTCTGCAACCTTTTATTAATGATGACCCAGCAAGAACAATAGTTCTCCACTATTTCTTAATCACAGGCCTCTGTGTTCCTAAACCTAAATTGATTGTCAAGCTGGAGCAAGGTACAGATTCATGGATAAGAGAAGACTCAGAAGAGAATTTCACAGGTGAGTTAAAGCATCTTGAAGGTGATGATTGGTCCAGAGCCTATTGTTCTGTTTATCTTGAGCTGTTTAGAGGGAAATATGCCTTGTACGCCTGAGTCATGTGTAGCAGAAAAGTAGGTGGTCTTTTGTCTCAAGGAATTGTAAATCCAGAATTCAAGTAGAGACAAACTGAATTTGGTGTGCCAGTGTAGTTAATGTTAGCAATTCTTTTTTTTTCTGTAGAGAAGTCATTCATACAGAGAAAAAGACAATGAAAAATGTAGAAAGGAGATCTCATTTTCTTTTAAACTAGTATTATGAAGTTAGGAGGAAAATAGGAGTATGCTAGGGCTGCTATCCTCTGATGTGACAATTTCTCATCAGTTATGCTGTGCATAGACTGAGATTCAAAATGGAAGCATTAAAAGTACATAGATGAATAATTTGAGTAAATATTTCCTTGAGAAAAAAAGAAAATCTAAAATACAGAAAACCATTATTTTCCATTGTAAAATGTCAGGACTACTTTCTTAATTACTACTTGCATAGAATATATATTCTGCATAAAGGAATGCTTTGATATTTGAAAATCTTGTAACAGTTAGAGTGTGAGAAAATACCTTCACATTAAGGAATTTATGGATCTCATTTATGTTTTTGTCTATTTTCCTGTTATTCATTTTAGATGTCCCAGAAATGGAGGAAGAAATTAGCACCTGTCAGGAAAGTCACAATAAATATCTCTCTGAAGTAGCAGTCATGAATAGTAACCCAGGGCAGGAAAAAGTGAGACTTATAAAAAGTTTTAATTTGAGCTCAAAACAGAAGTCAGAACTGATTAAGAATAATGGGAACTCCTTCGGAATGAGGACAGAAAAGGTCACTGGGTGTCAGAACATGGCTCTTTTCAGTGAACCTGGTAAGATGTGTGCTGCATATAGTCCTCATGTGCCTTCTATAGTTGGAGAATATAAACAATGTGAAAGGTCTTTCATTGATAAGACATACCCTATCATCCCTCAGAGAAAACAGACAGGAGAGAAACCTTATGAATGTAACATGTGTGGAAAGATTTTCACCTGTAAGGCATACCTTACTGTGCACCTGAGAATTCACACAGGAAACAAACCATATGAATGTAATGTGTGTAGAAAGTCTTTCATCCAGAAGTCACACCTCACTGTCCACCAGAGAACACACACAGGAGAGAAACCTTATGAATGTAACATGTGTGGAAAGTGTTTCACCCAGAAATCAAAGCTTACTCGCCACCAGAGAATACACACAAAGGAGAAACCTTTTGAATGTAACATTTGCAGAAAGTCTTTCACTTGCAAGGAATACCTTACTAGCCACCAGATAACACACACAGGAGAGAAAATTTATGAATGTAACTTGTGTGGAATGTCCTTCATCTGGAAGTCAAGTCTCACTGTCCATCAGAAAACACATACAGGAAAGAAACCTTTTCAATGTAACTTGTGTGGAAAGTCATTCATCTGGAAGTCAAACCTTACTGCCCACCAGAGAACACACACAGGAGAGAAACCTTATGAATGTAATGTGTGTGGAAATTCTTTCATCCAGAAATCAAAGCTTGTTGTTCACCAGAGAACACACACAAAAGAGAATCCTTTTGAATGTAACATTTGTGGAAAGTCTTTCACCTGCCAGGCATATCTTACTAGACACCAGAGAACACACACAGGAGAGAAACCTTATGAATGTAACATGTGTGGAAAGTCTTTCACCCAAAAGGCATACCTTACTGTCCACCAGAGAATACATACTAGAGAGAAACCTTATGAATGTAACATGTGTGGAAAGTCTTTCACCCAGAAATCAAGGCTTACTAGACATCAGAGAATTCACTGGAGAGAAACCTCATGAATGTAACAGGTGTGGAAAGTCTTTCGCCAAGAAGTCATACATTGCTGGCCACAAGACAACACACACAAGAGAGAAACCTTATGAATGTAACATGTGTGTCGTCTATCACCTGGAAGTCAAACCTCACTGTCCATCAGAAAAGACACACAGGAAAGAAACCTTATGAATGTCATATGTGTGAAAAGTCTTAGCTAGAAGCTACACCTTACTGTTCACCAGAGAGCACACACAGGAGAGAAATTTTATGAATGTAAGCTATATGGAAAATCTTTCACCCAGAACATACAACTTTCTGTCCATCAGAAAAAAAACCCACCAGAGAGAAATGTTATGTATGTAGCAGGCATGGAAATTCTTTCACCTGTAAAGCACACCTTAACATCCATCAATCACAGAACACAAGGATAGAAACCTTATGAATGCAACCAGTGTGGAAAGACCTGGAGGTCACAGCTTAATACACATAAGTTGATTCACACAAATGAAATAACTTAGGATTGTACCAAATGGG